TCCCACTTACTCAGATCACACTATGCTTTTCGCTTACACAGACACACAAGCATACATAATTTCATACTTTTTTTTCCATTTAGAATCCTAGACACTGCAGGGAGTAGTGAGGACAATGATGTGGTGTTGGTGTTGCAAGTGAAGACTAAGAGGCTTCAAAAAAAGATCCGTTTTCGGGGTTGAGTGAGCATCTAGAGATAGAGCCAGGGGACAAAAATGAGCCGTTGAGCTCTACGCTGCACTGCTGGCGTGTGTACTCTGAGGAGACGGTTCTTCGTATTGTGGCAAGGAGAGAAGGGGAGAGCTGGGTGATGAGTAAACACGCTTGGGTTTACGTTGGGCCCTCAGGATATGCAGCGTGCCAGTCACTGCCCTCTTTCATGGTTAAGGAATCTCCCCGGGCACTTCACCACAGCCTGGCCAAATGTTACTGCTTTCCGGAAAACACGCCCTGTCAGAGGGAGCCCACGCCCTGGGGCTCATGATGCTTTAGAGGAGAGTTGGGAGATGTTATTGCCACCAAGGTCACCAGCACACTGTGAACTGTTTCTCTGATGTTCTAAATGGGCTTTATGTTGACCCTGCAGTTGGGGAGGTGAGTAAGAGGGCTAAGTATTGATTGATCGTGACTGGCTTTGCCCCTGCCTGCGACGACAGCCTGCACGAGTGTTTCTTGGCAGTCAGAGACAAAGCTCGTACAGGCTGTCCTTCCGCCTCCTCTTAGGGAGATGGTGGGCAAAACACTCACAGTCCACCCTTGGAGACAACCTTGCTGTTGGCCAGCGGCCCGCCCACAGTTGGTCATTTTCATGTCCTTTTCTTCTTCCTTGCTGTTAGTCAGTCTGCTGCTGAATGACTGACCAGCTCACATTGTGGTGAATGAAGTTTGGATATGAGGTCAGGAAGACCTGAAAATTCATGAAGTGTGTGAGTATGTGCTGAGTCCTTTGCTGAGGTGATGTGTCGTGGCTCCTGGGAGTAAGTTCATCACATTGCACAGGTCAGAATGGAGCGTCCACGCAGCTTCTTAGCAGACTTTACATGGTTTTCCTAAGTGAAATTGTCAAAAGAATTTTCATCTTTGTTGCTGTGTGGTAATTACGCAGGCAACAAATATGTGGCCCTGCCTTGCGGACAAGGACCCCTTTCTTGTGAGGTTAACATCCGGAGGACGTGGTGGAAGGATTAGAATTCCTTTTCATGTTCTTGATAGTCCAGTGACCTTTTAGCTGTTCATAATAGAAGGAACACTTTGGCTTTATAGATTTGGAGGTAGTGACATGTAGAGGAAGTAATACCATGAGGATATTTCTAGATGGGCAGCAGGAATTTGGATGTTGCCCCCAGTCCCTGGGGCTGTGTCCTGTGTATTTGGAACCAAGCAGGGCTGGGACTTGCTATGTGACCTGAGGTGGGGACAGAACGAGACGAGAAAGACAGATGTGTTGTACTGTTTGCAGTGACTTCAGAGGCCCCCAGCCTGTACTCACCACATCACGTAACCTGACCCCTTTACAATTAGGCATCTGCATCGTCCCAGCCGCACAGGGGTCTGATGGTGTCAACCCAGAGCCGTCTCTCCCATGAAAGATGCTGGGGACTTAGAGAGAGATGGATGTGGGAAGGAAGGTTCTTTCGAGTTTGGAGTTTTAACATCAGTAGATAATAAATAGTTGGCAAAAGAACAGAGAAAGTGAAATAGATGACATTTGGCTTCCATCTCAGTCCCCACTGCCCTCACCCAGCATCCTCTTCCCAGCCCTTCATTTCTCTTGAATAGGGGTGTCTATGAGACAGAGGGTGTTGCTTATTACTAATGGAAGCCAGAAGCCTCCCCATTTCTTCCCCCGAAATCCAGACTCTCACTAGAATATCTAAATGATGTCCTCTGAACTTCAGTCCTTTGTTTCTGTATGTTCTCAAATGGCAGATCCATTCAAAAAATTCTGGGGCCAATTATTTAAGTTCCAGATAACAAGGCCAGGCACTGTGGCTCATACCTATAACCCCAGCTGAGAGGCTGAGGCGGGTGGATCACTTGAGTCCAGGAATTCAAGGCCAGCTTCGACAAAATAGACCCCATCTTTACAAAAAAAAAATAAGCTGGCATGATGGTGCACACCTCTAAGTGGCTACTCAGGAGGCTGAGGGAGGGAGATGGCTTGAGACCAGGAGTTTGAGGCTGCAGCAAGCTGTGATGATACCACCACGCTCCACCCTGGGTGACAAAGCAAGACCCCATATCTTAAAAAAAAAAAAAAAAAATTAAAGAAAATGGAGGAAGAGGATTTGGTGTTGGAAGTAAGATCCTAAAATCTGGAACATCTTACGTTTGAGATACAAGATGTGGGGTCATTCGCATGGAGCATTCTGGATGGTCTAAGAAATGCATTACCTGCATCAGCCGTGGTTTGGCATCATGAACTGATATTTCATCATGAACTCCTATTTGCCATGGGGCAAATAGGAGGGCTTGTATAGGAAGAAGTAGAGGGTGAAAAGCGAGGACCACCAAAGGGCTCCCAAAACACACAGAGAGCTTGGGAGCAGCCTGAAGAGGTGGCCACGAGAATTGAACGGTTGGCCTGAAGAGAAATGAGGGAGTCTGGAGAGGAAAGCGTCCCCTAGCGGATGAGCTTGGAGGGCCATGCAGTGGGGCTGACCAGCCCGGAAAGCCCGAATATAGGAGGAGGGGAGGTGGGCTCTGGTGGCTCAGAGGCTAATGGCCATCTTCCCAGAACCTTTTTAGGAGAGCGGTGGGGAGAGATGTGTTTAATCAGCAGATGAGCAGTGCCAATGAAGGCAGCTAAGAGAATGCAAAGGACTGAGTATGCTGTGCTGATGGAAGAAAACGGACCAGGTTGAAGACTCTTAGCACACAGGGCAGGAACGAAGACCCAGGAAGGAGCTGGGGAGCCTGGGGGTGCTCTCTTTTCTTTCATTTTAGAGAAACTTCATTATCTAAAAGCTTTGGGTGCCCTCAGTCTCCCCTGTGATGTAATTTGCTCTATATGCTTAGTTGGAACCAATAGAATAAATAATGCTGTTGATTGCCTGGATTGTGAAGCCAGGAGCAACCTGTTTCTACACACGATGACTTTTGTATCTTCTGGGTTTGCTTAATTAAGCGTGTGCATCCTCCTTGCCCTCTTCTGTTCATCAGAAGATCCTTGATGAATCAGAGATTGAGTCAACAGGAAGGCTCTCAGTGTCCCAGTGGAAGCCTTTTCTTGCGTTGCCAGAAGGTTCTTAGCTACCACATCTGTGGGGTGTGTATTAGTCAGGGTTCTCCAGAGGGACACAACTAATAGGATAGATGTATATATAAAGGGGAGTTTATGAAGGAGTATTGACTCACACGTTCACAAGGTGAGGTCCCACCGTAAGCCGTCTGCAGGCTGAGGAGCAAGGAAGCCAGTCCAAGTCCCAAAGCTGAAGAACTTGGAGTCTGATGTTCGAGGGCAGGAAGCATCCAGCATGGGAGAAAGATGTAGCTGGGCGGCTAGGCCCGTCTAGTCTTTCCACATTCTTCTGCCTACTTTTATTCTGGCCACGCTGGCACCTGATCAGGTTGTGCCCACCCAGATTGAGGGTGGGTCTGCCTTTCCCACTCCACTGACTCAAATGTTAATCTCCTTTGGCAACACCCTCAAAGGCACACCCAGGATCAATACTTTACGTCCTTCAATCCAATCAAGTTGACACTCGATATTAACCAGCATAAGGTGTATGTAGATTCTGGGTCCCTCCTGACTTCAGTTACCAGCTATTTTTTTCCACTTTGAGGATTTCTCACTTCCTATTAGAAGCCTGGTGCCGGGTTTTTGTTGTTGTTTTTAATTTGTTCCTTTCATGTAAGTTGGCTTCTGGTTTTCCTGGACAGTTGGTTTAAAGATAATTGCCAGGTTGATTGTTGAAAACGATGTTTTAATTGTCTCTGGGAAATTCCTTTCTCACTGATGGGAAAGTCTGCGGCTATGCACTGGCATAACGGTTAGGTGTGTGGCCTGGGAAACTAGAGCTAGCTCCTGTGTGAGTTCACACCTTGTGATGACAGATATCAGACAAGTTCATGGTTGCTTTATGCTTCTGTCTCCTTCACTGTAAAATGAGGGTGATAGTGGTACCTGCCGCAGAGGGTTTCTATGAGGACTAAAAGGGCTCATGCCTGTAATGAACTCTGCATGGTGTCCGGTGCATGGACAGTACTTAATAAATACTCGCTACCATCCATGTTTTTATATTTCTCTCTGCGTTGATCAGTGAGCCATTGGAAGGGTATACGTGTACCCCAAACCTCACTGAAAGTGCCCACAGCTTCGCTGTCTAGCACCCAACATGTCTGGGGGGCCATGGCCCTCCCCTCCATGCCTGTCTGTTCCTGGGCCACCCACCCTACCCTATTCTATGGCATTTGCGTCACTCCCACCTTCAGGTACCATCTCCTGTCCTTTCTCAATTATGCATTTCTCTTCCCAAGGGCTATGGACAGTTATTGGTCTGCTTCAGGCAAGCACTCTTAGAAGCAGAAACCTTGCTTTGGGGCTGAGTCTTGCTTCCTGCAGGTGTCTAGCGGTACCCATCTCTAGGATAGAATCTGTTTACAAGCCACTTACTGCACATGATCTCTGTGCTGACCTAATGATGCTAAAATCACCCAAGTGTGGATGGAAAAAATTAATATAAAATCAAACTCCAGTGTGCAGATGGGTAGAGTAAAATAATTAAACCAAATTAAAAGGATCGGAAATTGGTTCTCTCTTGTCTCTTTCAAATCGTAAGTGGAATTCTTCGCAGGATGAGTGGGGTAATTTCCAAGTCTCCCTCCAACGGTAACATTCCGTGACTCCATAAGAAGTTCAGGAGAGGTCCAGGAGATGTCCGGGGAGGGGTGATTAGAAAGAAAGCAGTAGGCTGATATTTGTAACCCAGGGCTGGGCCTCTTCTGGTCATGTCACTACTAACGCTTTGCATTTTCAACCCTTTGCTTTTGCTCTCAGGGAAGGCCGCTCGAATGCCCAAATCAGAGATTACCAAAGAATCGGCGATGTCATGCTGAAGAACATTCAGGGCATGAAGGTGAGCTGGTTGAGATTTGGGTGGAGCAAGTTCACCGAGGAAAATCGAGCGGGGCTGCTGTGGGTGTAGGCTATAAGCCATTTCCATCAGCGTGCATCTCCTGATTTAACTGTCTACACCAAGCTTGTCCAACCCACCACCGACCAGCCGCGTACAGCCCAGGACGGCTTTGAATGTGGCCCAACACAAATTCATAAACTTTCTTAAAACATTATGAGATTTTTTTTTTTGGTGATTTTTGGGTTTTTTTGTTCTGTTTTGTTTTGTTTAGCTCATCACCTATCGTTAGTGTTAGTGTATTTTATGTGTGACCTAAGACAGTTATTCTTCTTCCAATGTGGTCCCGGGAAGCCAAAAGATCGGACACCCCGGTCTAATCTAAGGCACAGCAGGAAGATGACTGTTTGGCAAACCCTTCTCCAGCCTTTCTAGATACTTTTATTTCAAAGCAGGAATGAAAATCCAATCACTTTAGTGAAAGCATCTTTAGTAGGTGTTTTGTTTGGAAAGTTTTGCGTCGTACCCAAAAGAACAAGTGTTTTCTGGGAATGGATGATTCAAAACCTCAAAAAAAAAAAAAAAAAAAAGGCATAGACAAACATTGTCTGAACATTACATTTTCAGTCAGTTGTTTTGGTTTCTTCTAATAACCATGACATAAATGTTAGATTCAGAGCTATGTAGGTGTTTTAGTAAATTCTATGACTTTAAATCAGTGTACGAGGCAAATATGGTTTTTTTTTTTTTTGGTTGGTTGGTTTTGTTGTTGTTGTTGTTGTTTTTGAGACGGAGTTTCACTCTTGTCGCCCAGGCTGGAGTGCAATGGCGCAATCTCGGCTCACTGCAGCCTCTGCCTCCCAGGTTCAAACGATTCTCCTGCCTCAGCTTCCCAAGTAGCACCTGGGACTACAGGTGCGTGCCACCACACCCAGCTAATTTTTGTGTTTTTAGTAGAGACGGGGTTTCTTCATGTTAGCCAGGCTGGTCTCAAACTCCTGACCTCGGGTGATCCACCTACCTCGGCCTCCCAAAGTGCTGGGATTATAGGCATGAGCCATCATGCCTGGTCGCAAATATGTTTTTAATCATCCAGCAATATCTACAATGAATGACATAAAAGTGAAAGTATATCCAAAGAAGTCAATAAACATTAAACTAATACTCTACCATATTCAAAAAAATCTGCCCCATCTCTTATATCAGAAATTTTCCTTTTTTTGTTTTCATTTGACTCCATTAACAATTCTTTTAACATACAATGTTTTAATCCACACAGCATGTCTTTTGAATACACCTGTACTCACATTTTAAAGCAATCTTCCTGAATCTCAACTGCCCAGAGTCTGTATGACAACCTTAAAAACTAACAACTGCCCTGAGAAGCTAGCAACCCCCTAAAGAAGGTGCTCATACTGCCCCCATTTTAGTCCATCCACCCACCCATCCATCCACCCAGTGCTAACTGAGCACCTACTATACACAGGACACTCATAGAATGAAATTACCGTTAGGGTTTGTCTTAACTCCCATGAACCTAGCTAAGTGGGTTGGCGTTTAGTTTTTCCCATTAAAATAATATATCTCAGCGGGGTGTGGTGGCTCATGCCTGTGATCCTAGCAATTTGGGAGGCTAAGGTGGGAGGATTGCTTGGGCCCACAAGTTTGAGATCAGCCTAGTCAACATGCCAAGACTTTGTCTCTACGAAAAATAAAAAACATTAGCCAGGAGTGATGGTAAGTGCTTGTAGTTCCAGCTACTCAGGGGGCTGAGGGGAGAGGATCACTTGTGAGCCCAGCAGGTTGAGGCTGCAGTGAGCCATGATGGCACCACCGCACTCGAGCCTGGGCAACAGAGCGAGACCCTATCTCAAAAATAAACAATAAATAAACAAAGATGAATCTCATGAGAGAGAGACAAGGGGAGGAGGGTCGGGGGGTGGCACAGAAAAGATAGGATCAAATGCCACTCAAGAGATTTCCTGTCAATCTCTTTCTCTTAACAAAGACCACAATAACACTGACTGAATCCTGAGGTATTATTTGTTTTTTCACTGTGTTCAAACAGCAACCCTTTGCAATTTGGGGCAATACCAGAGAGAGGCCGTGGGAATGATCAGGGTTGCAGAATCCTATGCGAAAAAGAAAAGCAAGAATTCCCTAAGATGTTCCACAGCCACAGTATTTTGAATGGCATGAGCTACGGCTGAGGACAACATTCAGACGGAAGGACAACAGACATCTTTTCCACTTTCCATGGGAGTTTCTGAAGTTAATGTATTTTATCTTTCAAAGCAATTTTAGCTTTACAGAAAACTTGAGCAGAAAGTACAGAGTTCTCATATTCTTCGCTCCACCCCCAAACACACAGTTTCCCCAGCTATTAGCCTTTTGCATTGGCTTGGTGCACTTGTGGAAACTGATGAACCAATATTGACAAGGTTGACCATTAGGGCTCTCTCGGTGGTGTACATTCTGTGGGTGTTGACAAATATATAATGACAGGGATCCACAGAACAGTTTCCCTGCCCTAAAACTCCTCTGGGCTCCACTTATTCATCCCCCTTAGATGCCCCCCAAATCCCTGGCAACCACTGATATTTTACCATCTCCATAGTTTTGCCTTCCAGATGTCACATAGCTGGGATCAGACAGGATGTAGTCACTGCAGACCAGCTTCATTCGGTTCTCAGAAACGTCCTTTTTCCTCTCTTATGTAACATGACGCTGTTTCTGTTGTTCTCTTCCATCTTTTCCCTCTTTTCACATGCTCTGTACTTTTTCTCGCGCTGTTCTGGTTTCTCAGCTTTTCTCCCCGTGTTCCTCAATCTGAGATCACAGCTCCCCGGGGGGGCGCCCTCTTCAAGGAGGCTTGGACTCTGGTGTGGGCCTTTGGGGACAGCAGCAGAGAGCTGCCAGGCTCTTCCCTACCTGCGGAGATAGTCCACAGCGTGGTGCTGTTCAGCAGGTGTCCTTCGTGGCTTCTCCAGGTTATGTGCCAACTCCCACCACTGCTTTCCCGCCGAGGCTGACATCCCACCTTCCCCTCCGCTAACCCAGCGCAGAAGACCACCTAAAAATACACCTGATTTCCGCGCCTGGCATTATTTCTCCTCGGTCTGGGGAGCTGGCATTTCTGCATTCAGCCAGCTTCCTCTGCTGTGCTGGCATCTCAGGAGTGTGCTGATGCCACGAGCGTTTATAGCATGGAGCTCTGTGCAAGCAAAATAAAAATAGATGGAGAGGCTGTGAGAGCCACTGGCAGCCTTTTTGAGAAGTTAGTTGTGGGTTTTTTTTAAATTGCTGTTTTTATTGTTTTAAAGAATTTCTATAAAGCATGGAGGGGCACAGCCGAAGTTTCCAGAAATGTGAGAAGCCCAGGCCAGCGCTGTTGTCCAAATGCTTAGAGTGTTCTCGAGCCTGTAGTGTCTTTCCCACTCCACTCCCACCCCCGACCTGTGCACTCACCTGCTGTCATCAGTCTCAGCCTGATCGGCTCTTCCCAGCCTCTGCACACAGGAGTGAGGTCACATGACCAAGGGAGGGTAGTCCAGGGTCTTTAACCACCTCCAGAGAATCAGAGACACCCAAATCAGGATCTCCAGCCCACGCTGTGAACCTCCACCTGCACACATCCATCCAGACACACAAAAGCACTTGGAAATCAATGCAAAGAAAGGGCCTTTCATCCTGACCTTTACCTGCTTTGCAAGTGGGGACCTTCATTCCTTCCTGTATCGCCTATCGCTCCACGCTTCTACCACCTGTACCTCCTTCTCACACTTCTACCACTTTGCTCCTCCTGGCTCTCTGTTTTCTTCCTGCTAGGCGACCGGGCCAGCTTCCCAATGAGTCCCCTCCCGCCAACCCAGCCTCCCAACCCACTACTTATATGATGGCTGGAGTCGCTGTTTATACAACACAAAACTGACTGCGCAAAGCCCTCCTGGTTCTCTGTGGTTTGGAGAATGCAATCCAAACTCTAGACCTAATGAAGAAAGCCTCTACTCTAGTCCTAGGCCATCTTTCCAGACCCTGCTCCCAACCCTTCACCTTCTACCCTGCCTTCCGGCCACCGCCAACTCGTGTGTTCTCCCAAGACCCCTGCCTTGGCCTGGGTATGTGCATTGCTTCGTTTGCTCTTTAGTATGTACAGGGAAGACCTTTGGACACCCACTGCATATGGCAGGCCCCAAGGATGTGACAACTTGCCAGGATGTTACAACATGATGATGCCCTCTCAAAATCAAATAGGGGACCACAGGTGTGATAGCATTGCACAGAGCGACACACACATGCACGCACATGCATACACACACAAGAGCGTGTATAACTGGTGCCATCTGAATAAGCTCTGTGGGCGGTACCAATGTCAATTTCCTGGTGTTGATACTCTAGTTTTGCAGGATGTCACCATTGAGGGAGGCTGAGTGAGGAGTGCACAGTCCCTCCCTGTATATTTCTTTGCAACTTCCTATGAATGTCTATGTCAAAATAGAAAGTCATGAAATCAACCCAGCAGGCAGGCTGTGTGATAAAGGCTGATGTGGACAGACACAGCAGTGAGTGCAGGAGGAGGATGCAGGAGTACAGAGCAGGGCAGGCCCTGGAGTAACCCCGAGGGATGGGGGGGTCCTCAGCAGTGGGCATTGTGGGCAGAGGCTCTGGGTGCAAGAGCATGGTGCATTTGAGTGCAAGGTGGTCAGTGGGTGGCTCGGGGTGAGTGGCAAGCATCAGTGCCAGAGAGGTCAGAGGGATTCCGGCCTAAGAGGAGTCTGTTGACTGGCATCGCGGAAAGTTCATTCAGGGGGCTCAACTCACAGTGAAGTGGAAGGGGCTGGAGAGCACGCAGCAGTGGACGATGCCAGACCGGAATGAGAACAGTGACCATGGGAAAGAAGACAAAAGCAGGTCCCACATTTTCTGGAGGACAAATTGATAGGACTTGGGGATGGGTTCAGACAAGGAAACAATGTGGAGTATACCCCAGGTTTTAATGTCCT